TTATAAGATGTAAAATAACTTTTATTACTTTGTAAAAGAATAAAATAGATTGGTAGATATTTTATTCACGATTTCTTATTCATGAAATATTTATAAAGTATAGTTGGTTTTGATTTTTCGTATTTATATGTATATATATCTTATAACTTTATTATAGCATATTTAAAAGGAAAAAGATAAGAATAAGTGAAGTATATTAAAGACCTCTTTTTCGAAGAACATAATATTTTCGAAATCAGAAAGAGAAAGTATTTATATAAAACAAGCAGCAAACAGGCACATAACTTTAAAACGAAAGTTCATGCGAGAGTTTGTCTAGGCGGTCGTAGATTCGATCTACGGATTTAGGTAGGTTATTAGCGAGCAATCTCAGCGGGGCGATAATTTCGTGAAGGATCAATAGAATATTTATCAGGGCATTCCCGAGCCTCGGCTTCTCCTCGCCTCGGCAATTAATCGTCGTCCCCTGAAATAGCGACTCTCTCGTCAATATCGTAACACTGCCAGCTACCGGTCGACGACCCTCGTGCAACCATATAACCGATGTATTTCGAGTAAATATCTCAGCTAAATCTCCATTTATCTCGCCACGAGTGCAAAAGTCCGTGCTTACGACGAGGAAAATCGCGACATAAAACAGTTGCAAAATGCGTTGCGTTTTCCGCGAAATTGCATTCGCTCATTTTGCATTATTTGCATTTTTCCTACACGATTTGCATACGTATCAATACAAACAGATAGCTAATTTCCATTAAACTGAATATGTCGCTGGCATTTAAAAATAATTGTGAGTAATTGAAAAAAAAAACACGCTATTTTTGTTATTTATGATATCGAATATCAATGATTCAACCATTAGCAAGAAGAGCGAGAGTAAACGACACTATTTCATGTTATCTTGAAATATAATTTCAAATGTCAATTTTTATAAACGCACGAGATAAAATGTCAGAAGCGTGACGTAAAATATGACAACGACAGATTTACAAAAAAAAGAGATAAAGCTCTGCGTCTCTAGAAAATTTATATCACATTTATGTAAAAATTTTTTTAAAGTCTGGACATTTCCGCAAAATTTTCGATTTAAAATGCTTGAAATGCTTTTGTGATATAAAAATAATCGAGATGAGAGTGTCATATCGCGTCTTTGTGAGCGCCGCTTAATTCCATACAAAGGCAGGCATCCGATGAAAAGGAACCTGCCATCGGGGCCCGCATCCTCCCCAGGCCCGAACCTAATTCATCTCGGAGCCCCGCAGGTCCTGCTATCACCTTGCCTGTCACTAATGCGACACTTCTGAGAATTTCAGAAACGACGCATCTGTCATCTGCAGCTTGCTACGTTCTCATTCGATATTCTCAACGTCCTTTCCTCAAATTGAAACAAGAAAATTTCTCGATATATTAGCAAATTTTGAAGTGGAAAATTATTTGCAATTTATAAATAATTTTTCGAATAAGCTCGAGATTTTTAACAATCCTTGAAAGGCTAGGAATCTGTCTAAAATTTAATTTTTCTCATATCTCTTATATTAATAAGAAACATTTATATATAAACCTTATAATATATTACACAGAAAAAAAATAAGTGTCAAATCAAAACTTATATACTTAAACTAACGCGTTCATTGTTTCGTATATATGCAACAATTTATAATCTTCTTAGAAGAATTTAATAATTTTAAATTTCAACAATATTATAGTCTTATTTTAATATTATAATTGTCACCTCAAGAATAAAAAATTATTTAATTCTATTTTAAGAAAATTATAATCTTTGATTTAAAAGTGTTATTTTCTATCCAACATTGTTTCTTTTCCATTGAAGAAAATTAAATCGTAAATTATAAGAATATATTTTTCTCGATTGAACTATATAAAATAACTTCATTCAAGTAAGCAATTATTCAAGCAATTATATTTTTCTTTAATTAACACAATATAATCTCATTTCCATGTTAAAACTAAATATATTTTCAAAACAAGAAAATATAAATATATTCTTTTTTTCTGTGTATATATATTAATTGTATAGATGTATAAAATTGTAATTTAAATTAAATTTTATTTCTCCGATATTTCTCTTTATTGTTGTAATGTATATATATATATATATATTTAAAATAAATTACATTATGTAAAGAAAAAATACTTTATTATTTCGCACACTTTTTCTTTCTAGTTTATATTATACAGATTAAATTTATTTTTATGCTCTACTTTTAAAATTGACGAAGTGAAACGTTTGCACATATGTTTTGCTACCTAGTTCCACTCCATAATCATGATTTTATAAAATTAGATCGCAACCGTGAAGGACATGTTGTCAGTTATTAAAACCTGTCAAATCGAGTCATGTATGAACGAGATATATAAAAATGATGAGAGTCTAAGAAAGTGAAGGAACCATAAAACGGTATTACTTAAGCCTTTCAAGGATAGCAAGCATATGTGTATCAACTAGTGCAAATTCTGGAATCTATATTTACGCAACTTTATATCCCAATATATAGAGAATTTCATCGACAAATAAATAAAATTTTATGCTGATTATCAAATATACTGCGCCACCAACTAAAAGCCTATATAAATTCCAGTAAAAATTTTTTGTTTTCTTTTTCTATTACATTTCATAACATTCTAAAAAAAGGAGTACAATTTACGTAATTTATATGCACATACAGTTGTGTAATAGAAATAATACCAATTCATTTCAATCAATTTCTTTCTTTCTCTTTGAAAAAATATTTTTCAATGTCAATATTTCTTTATATTTTTAATATTTAATCTTAATATTTAATATTTTTCAACGTCAATATTTCTTTATATTTTTAATATTTTATCTTAAATATCGTCAAATCGATTTAGTTTAATTCTTAAAAAAAAATAAGTGTCTCAATTAAAATTTATTAAATTTAAATGAACAATACCTGTATATTGGTTTTCAATTTCGTTTTTTATAGATTTTCGAATTTTAATAAGATAATCGAAAAACAAAGTATTTCTTATATATAAATTCGAAAATCTATAAAAAAACGAAATTGAAAACCAATATGCAGGTATTTAAATTTAATAAATTCTTATTGAAAATCTTATTTTTTTTAAGAATTAAACTAAATTGATTTGATGATATTTAAGATTAAATATTAAAAATATAAAGAAATATTGACGTTAAAAAATATTTTTTCAAAGAGAAAGAAAGAAATTGAATTTGTGCTATTTCTATTACACAACTGTATGTGTATTACATAAATTGTGCTCCTTTTGTTAGAATGTTATGAAATGTATCTGCTGTATTAAAAAAAGAAACAAAAAATTTTTACTGGAATCTTATTAAATTTTCTATTTAAATTATCTTATTTAAATTTAAATTAGCTTATTAAAATTCGAAAATTTATCAAAAATGAAATTGATAACCAATATATAGGTATTGTTTATTTAAATTTAAATTTAATAAATTTTAATTGAGAAACTTATTATTTTAAAAGAATTAAACTAAATTGATTTGACGATATTTAAGATTAATCATCTCCAGATTATCCTAATGAAACATGTGGAAATCTTAAGACTTTGGAGAAATGACGCGCGCACAAAACAGTGTCATCATTGTCACGTCGATCTCGAAAAACGTGCTGGAGTGCGAAATTTCGCCAGCAACGAAAAGAGCGATCTACCGAATGACCGACACGATTCTGCACGAGCGAGCTTACTATTTTTTCAGCGAGGCGTGTGACGCTTCTTCCGATACTGCGATGGGATTCTTGCGATGTACGCCGGTCGATAGTATACCTGTGTACAATCACCTGAGAAATACCGTTGCGACCACACTCTGGCACCGATAACTACGAAAGCCGATGCATAAAAGCCTCTCAGGGACCAGACTGATCAACCCTATTTTTTGTAAATTTTTTATTTTTATTAGATTTATTTTTATTAGATTTATTTTTATTTTTATTTTTATTAGAGCATCCGATGTTGATGTTTTGATATTAAAATTAAGGATTATCCAAGAAGTGGAATTGATCAGTTTTAGTTTCTGCAAGATTTTTCCTTGCGCGAGATTATTTTTACGAAAATTAATTTCTCTTTCATTAAATCTAACGCGATAATACGAAATCTATGCTTTATCAATTTCGCGTAGAAAAAAAGTCACTCGTGATTCACGCTCGCAACCGCTCGAACTTTATCCGCATTTTTATTATCGCAACGTGCGCGATAGTTACGTATGATGTATTGCTGTTCTTAAGCTAATCGATAATTAGTTGGTTTCTCTGCGGTTTTCTTGCGCGGAAAAACTGGTTAAACGAGTTGTAAAAATATTAAATAGACATGCCTAGTAAATGCGTCGTAAGCCATAAATCAATCGGAATATTTAATGACACGGAAAATCATTTGATTGATTTTTCGCTGAAAATAGTCGCCCTCGAGATATCAAACATCTTTAAATATCGTCAGATATGTATCCTTGGATGTACGATATATTTTTAGCTAACTATTTTATCGCAAGACTTTCTTGTCGATGTTAATAAATAAATCAAGAAAGTCGAGAAGAAATGTGAATCGATGTTCCACATTTATTTCTTAAACTTATGATCCAATATTTTCAAAATAGATATTTTAATTATAAGAAAAATGACGAAGTGTTTAAATGTAGGACGAATCACATAGAATCCGATCATTCTGATTATCTTTTACTAACAATTTAATAATTTATCTTTTTTTCGATTAATATACATGTATAAAAAATTTATATATATAAGAATAATTTATATATATATATATATATATATATATATTATTATATATTATTATATATATTATTTATATATAAATATATAATTTATATATATTTATAAAAAAATTTATATGCGAAATAATGTCTTTTAAAATGAATCTCTTTTTAATCTTCTCTCTTAAAAATCCTCAAAATCACGTTGATATTTTTAAATAATCAGTACAATCGATATGCGAGTCATCTAATGTATATCATTTCCATGTACCTCGTTCGTCTGTTTGCAGGGGAAAGGCACTTTGGCGGAGAGTTCTCTCAGGAGGTCCCCCGAAGTGCTCCTCGCGACCTCAGCCATACTTTCGGAATCGTCGTCCGCGCCACGTGCCGAGTCGGAGATGACGGTTTCCTCGCCGCTGCCCTTTTCCTTCGCCCGCTGTTCGTGCTTGGAGAGCAGCTCGCGCTGCTTCTGGAAGAACTCGGGCTCGCTGAAGCATTTCTCGAGGCTGGCGGCGCGCTGGAGGGTCGTCGGCGAGTTTGGGGTCGAGCGCGAGAACTCGAGCTCGTCCCGCAGCAAATTTTCCGCGCTCTTCTTGCATATTCGCGGTGGATCCTGATCGCGGAACGTCCTCCGTTGTCCTTTCGATACCTCGCACATTGCGCCCTAACCAGAGAACGTTCTTCGTCGGGAGAAAGTTACGCAACGCGCGTCCAACGTCATTTTACGCCATCATTTCTCCCCCGGACGTATCTGAAAGAAATTCATATAAATGTTTAGCAGACACGTTAATTGAGGAGTCGCGTGACAAACGAAATTTGTGCTTATTCGCTGATCTTAAAATTTTATCACATATGTACATTTTTTTTAACATATATGTATATTTCATAAATAAATTAAATATTTCACTAATCTTAAAATTAATTTAATAATTTTAAAAATGTACACATTTAAAAAAAAAAAATATATATATATATATATATATATACAGGGTGTTCCGAAACTCATAATCAATTTTTCAAAGATAGATTCCTGGGATCATCTGAAGACGATTTTTCCTCAATGAAAATCGAGGCACTAATAATTTTCGAATTATAAGTGATTGGAAATAAGGGGTTTTTCGTAAACTAAGCTTTGTAGAAATAAAATATTAGCAAAACCACATTCTTCGATTAATTTTAAATAAAGTTTACTTTAGTTGAGTTTTAATTTAAGGCTTAATTGAAAAGATATATGATGACAAAAATCGGGAACATGCAAAAAATGATGGCTTTCATCGACATTTTTGCTGAGGAAAAATCGTCTCCAAATGATCCCAGGAATCTGTCTTTGAAAGATTGATTATGAGTTTTGGGACACCCTGTATATATATTATATATTTAATAAATGACTTAAATATTGTATATTAAATATTAAATATTAATATATTGTATATATTATATATTATTATATATTAAATATATTATATATTGTATATATTATATATTATTATATATTATAAATTGAATATTTAATTTACTTGTGTGTGTAGTTAATTTTTTAATTTAGAGACAAAAATTTTCAAGACAAAAATCTATTTGTAACTTTATTGTGTAATTGCATCGAATATACGCGTATATATCTTATTTCTTCAATTATATGTTCTTCCATATCGCATCAAATTATAAAATATGTAGACTTGTGTACTAAAAAAACCTATGAAATGATACTTTTTTTTACAGTGGCTAGATTTATTAATGTTACTTTCGTACAGTGCATGGCGGTAATTTTATCTCGAACACTGCTGAACAAATCGACCCACATCTGTCAAATAAATCCGTCTCTTTCCCCATAACGTCCCGATAATACGTCGCACGCAACCCGCTTATTTCTTGCACGTGAAAACTTTCGGGGCAAAAAAAAAAAGAAAAGTAACGGTCGAATCTCCGCTAAAGCAATAGCTAGTCTCGAAATTAGATTAGGTTAGGTCAGGTTAGGAGCGTTATCACGCGCAGCGAAATAAATCGACGAGAGAAACGCGCGTACGTCGAAAACATATACATACCTGTCGTTCGACGAGATCCTCGCGAGGATGAAAGAGAGCCGGCTACTCCGTCCGTCACCGCGACGCGACGCGCACAAACACCACCAGACGCGAGACTGGAGGGACGGCCACCCCGCGTGCGTCATGCGGAAGGACATCTGTTGCCCCTTGCCCGCGACACCCCTCGAGCGAGAGGGATGTCTATCCATCTCTCTCTCCCTCGCACGCGAAATCGTTACGCTCGCACCACGCACGCGTGACATGCAGGGTCGCGCGTCAAACAGCGAGAGCCCCGGCGTCCTTGATGCCGATGTCAACACAAGTTGTATTTACCTGCCGGCAAAGAGATTATTATTTATTATTTGGAACCGCGACAAAATTTACTTGAGGATATATAAGTTTAAGGAACAATATTGAAGGAGATAAAAATGATTATAATATTATATATATAATGATTAATTATATAATAATATATAATTAATAATTATATATAATAATATATGATAATATATGATGATTAATTATATATAATAATATATAATTAATAATAATAAGTAATAATATATGATAATTATATATAATAATATATAATTAATGATATAATAATATATAATTCAAGGATAAAAATTATTTTCGTGTAATCCTGTTGTGGGTCTATTTAATCAAATTTATTCTCGATTTAACGGACTATTAATTTTCTTTATACCGCGAAACTTTTATTTTAATAATATTACGCACGTACGCGTCGCGTATAAAATTGCTGATTTATATGAAAGAGCAAGGATGCATCTCGTGCGAAGAGGGCCTTCTGAAGATTGTTTACGTCATTGATTCTCCTCCCTCTCTCTTTCTCTCTGTCTCCTTCATCCCTTTCCCCCTCCCTTTTACTTTTCTACCTCCCTTTCCCTTTATTATTGCTATCATCTCTCTCTCTCTCTTTCTCTTTCTCTCTTATTATTCTGTGCTATCTCCTTTTCTCCCTTTTAGTTACGCTTCGCCCTTTTCATTCTCTTATCTACCCAATTCACCCCCTCTCTGTCACTTTTCCTTTATTTATGCCTTTAGTTACGCTTTTCTTTCTCTTTGTCTGGACTAAGCTACCCATCTTCCTCATTAAAAAAAAATTGTGGGATACTCGTTGTGAATTATGCCGGGGGGTGAATAGACGAGACGACGATGACGATGTCGCGACGACGCCTGCTCATGCGTCAATCGATTCGCGACTTTCACCAAAGGAAGAATCCTTCGGCGCATTCCTTTCGCGTTTTTATTAATCGCGAAAAATTCGTCTGTCATATTCATTGATTTCGGTTTTTGCAAAATTGTAAAACAAAATCCCTCTGTCCATCTAGATATATAAATAAAATTATCTGCTTAGAAATTAGAACATTAAGATTTTTAAAATAGATTTTTAAAATAGATTTAAAGTTTAAAATTATCTTTATATTATATATCGATTAGTTATATTAAATATCGTTCTTTTCAATTTATCCGTTTGATGACATTGTTTCAAATATGGTTTGTTTACAAGCTGATTAAATACGTATTCCACACAGCTATCTAATTTGTGTTCAGAACAATCAATTTTCGTCTTTTACATACGAACTCTAATAATAATAATAATCTTGCAAATTATCTATCAAATACATTTTCATTCTTTTTTTTTTATATAATTTATATAATGATTTAATATGAATACTATGAATATCTCATTGTGTGAATTTAAATATTGCTTAAAGACAGTTTTTTTTATAAATTGTGTTAATAATTAAACAAAGCATAATGAATCATACGTTAATGATATTATAATATTCATTATTTAAATTCGAAAATCTAAAAATATCAGATTACTTGAAATTACTATTATGCATCTATTTATAAGTTATATCAATCTAATTATATAAATTATCTTCTTCATATTATTTTATTGCAAATTCTTTTTCACGTTTATTTGCCTCTATTCAAAATTTATTCTAGTATAATGAACAGATAAGTTATATAAATATATATATGAATATATATCGCATTAATTTGGAATAAGGAAAAAAATAATGTAAATAATATTTTTTCGTAGATTAACTAGTGCTTTATCTTAATGTATATCTTTTCTCAATTTCAATCGTTTTTTAATGTGCGTCAACATAATACATCGGATTTGATAGAATTGCTGCTTGTGGTTTTTGCTATTTAATTTTAAAATAGATTTAAAGTTTAAAATTATCTTTATATTATATATCGATTAGTTATATTAAATATCGTTCTTTTCAATTTATTCGTTTGACATTGTTTCAAATATGGTTTGTTTACAAGCTGATTAAATACGTATTCCACACAGCTATCTAATTTGTGTTCAGAAGAATCGATTTTCGTTAAATGTAAAAAATATTATTTACATTATTTTTTTCATGTAAGTGTTATGTTATGATATCTTTTTTCAATTTTTTAAAGAGAGTGTTGAAAGATATAAAAATCCTAAAAAATGTAATAAAGAAAATTGTGTATGATTCAACATATTTATAAAATCTTTTCCACAAGATTTTAAATATATTTTTGTTTGTTTACATATTTTATTACAAACAGAAAAATATACTTAATTACAAACAGAAAAAAAACAGAAATGTTGTACAATGAAAATCGCGAAAATAATTTTTATCTTATAATATTGCAATTCTTACGATTATATAACATATATTTTATTACAAACAGAAAAATATACTTAATTACAAACAGAAAAAAAAACAGAAATGTTGTACAATGAAAATCGCGAAAATAATTTTTATCTTATAATATTGCAATTCTTACGATTATATAACATATATTTATTCTCCTTCCTACTTTTTTCGTAGGTTATCATGTCCAAAATCAGAGAAAATATTGAAGAATATTTTGAATCAAAAGAAATGTTGGACCAAGTAGCAAAACAGTTGGTGAATGGTGGAAATATACATGCCGCGGCAAAGCGGAACGGAATTATATATTCACATCTTAAACAAAAAGTCAATATTATAAAAACATTATTAAGAGATTTTAGATTAGAATGTGCGGTCGATAGGGCGGTAAAAAATGTTTTGTGTGAAAAACAAACTATAACTGAAGCCGCAATACATTATAAAATTGATCCCAAACTTTTAAGTAAACAAATTAATCAGCACAAAATACTTGGAAGAAAAACGTACGTATATGCCAAACTTATAAGTGTTAATACAAAAATTTTCACGTATGACGAGGAGCTACTGTTACTCAAACGCTTGTCTGAAGCAACGAAAGAATCTTTCACTTGTACTTGTCAAATTTGTGCAATGATATTGCTGCTAAATTTAGCTTATAAATTTGTCCAAAAAAAAAGAATGCAATATCCTGCAGTATGGGATGACTATAAACGAGCAGATGTAAAATGGTTGATAAATTTTGAAATGATACACGGCGCTAAACTTTCAATACTGTTCGATAATTCAAAACAATGTAATCAAAAAAAAGAATAAAAAGAAAAATAATTTCAATCTTTAATCAGTAGACAATAATCTTGGTTATTATTTGATAAAAAAAAACATTCTTGAAATATCAAAATAAAATTTGCATGAAAGATATTTTTATCTATTACGAATTTTCAATTAATTGAATTGGTGTAAAGCAGACATTAAACATTTTAGAAGCGTCTACTGTTTTTGAAAACAGCACATTAATAAATCTATAGAGTATAGACTGATCAGAAGCACATAATCCTTAAAGCATAAACATTTATAGAACCCTCCAATTCTATAAATACCTAGTACGTAAATTTATTTAAAATCAATTAATTGGTAATTCATAATATTTTAATGTTTTCAGTGAAAAAAAATTGTTAGAGAATAAGAAAAAGAGGAAAGATAAGAGATTTCTACCAGATATAATGAATTAAATCTTAAAATATAATATAAATTAACATTTTTGCAACCATTTCGTTCGTTAATATAAACAAAAAAACACTCTTTTCCTTGAAAGCATAATCATTTCTAATCAGCGTTATAAAAAATTTCTAAAATGTAATATTAATATTGATAGTAGACATAATCATTTATAATTCATATGAAATAAGAGTATAAGATATGTATCCTGTATAGGATAGAACGAATAGAAGTATAAATAAATGTGTAAGTGTAGTGATATAGAGATGAATTTCACATGATATGATATTTAATTATTATTTTTAAAATTATAAATAGAAGACGTAAAAATAGGAATTTATATATTTGTTTTAATATATTTATACCTATTTGAAAATCTTTTATTGACTGTGTTTCTCGAATTATTATGATTGTATGATTGAAATATGTAACGTAATAAAAATATTATAAAATTGCTTAAAAAAATAAATTATATAATTATTATTCGTATTATTCTTTCACGTTGTATATTATACATATTAATCTTGAAAATTATATACATATGTGTATATATATGTATATATATGTATATATATAATCTTTTAAAATTTTTTAATAATTTAATGGCACAACATAATGGCAAAAATGCAAATAATTCTTTTTAAATATAATTACTTAAATATAATTTCATCAATTTTTCTAAAAATTACATGTTTGAATTATATATACATGAATATAAATACATATATTCTGTGAATAATATATTTTATGCACATTTTATACATTAACATAATATATTTTTTATTATTTATTTTATTCAATATTATTAAATAAATAAAATCTGTGAATTTTTTTATAAAGCAATATTTTATATTAAATTAATTCATTAAATAGATTGCTGGGAGCTTAATAAATTGTTTAAAAAGAAGATTAATTCATAATTATTTAATAAATTATTGGTCTAAGTTTTATATAAACTTGTACAAATGAAAAGAAGATTATAATCTTTTCGAATTGTATATAGGGAAAATATGTGCCATCTAGAAACTAATTTTAAGGAATGTAAGATATGTTTTTCTAACACTAGTGGGAGCCTTAAGCTTGGTCGCTTGGTGACATTGTTTCAGTTGTTGTCTGTTTACGACTAAGTACGTGTCGCTGAGAAATCGTTATCCCGAAATTTGTTTTGATGAATCTATTTTGTAAGTACCTTTTATGTTAATTTTTCTTTGATTTTTAAAATGTACATGAATCATGAAAATATTTCCAAAAGTGTAAAAATTTCACTAATTAATTTATCATTTCTTGTGAATTATGTGATATCTGCTGCACATGTTTTTACATGTTAATACTCGATTTCTCTATGCACTTACACGTTGCACGTGCATTCCATTCAAGTTACTAGCAATTGTCTCTTAGAGCACTAAGCAGTCGCTCCGAAGATGATCATTTAGTAACTAAGAGTTACTAGACACTAGTATTGATACATTCCAACTAAATTCGATATACGAACGATTTCTGTCCAAAAATTTTTTTCTGATTATTCATTTTTTAATATTTATATTTAGATACTCTCTCGATTGGAAGAAATAGTAATTATAAATGTTTTCATCAATCATAACATTAAAAACCACATTACATATGCGAGAATTATATATAATTTTTATTTATCTACTTAAAATTCGTGATATGAATCTAACAATAAGAAAACATTGTTTTTAAATATCAATTTTAACCTTTGATTAATATTATATATATTTTTCTCCTATTATTAATCTTTTTAAAATCTTTTATACAAATATTTAAATAATAATAAATCAAAATTTTATTAACTTTATGTAGATCTAAAAGATTATTTTAAAATAATTAAATAATTAATTTTGTGAATTAAAATTTTTTATATAGACGTATATATATTTTAAAATAAAATAATATTTAATTATTTTAAAATAATCTTTTAGATCTACATAAAGTTAATAAAATTTTGATTTCTTAATAATTGAATAATTATAAACAAAAAAATGAATATTATAACATATAAGAGAATAAATCTTATTTATTTATATGTTATAATTCTTTATTATTCTTATATGTTATATTCTCTTATTATATTTTCATTTTAAAATATTGTAATCTTTTAGTCTACAATATAATACACTTTCAATCTCATATCTGTACTTCTCAATCAATACATATTTCAATACATATTTCTATTTTCTTTCCGTAGGTCATAATGTCTAAAATCAGAGAATATATTATGTATTATCTTGAATTAAAGAAGAAGCTTGATATAGCAGCGGCACGTGTTGTAAATGAAAAAAGAAATTTAGAAAACACCGCAACGGATTATGGACTTCCACAAAAATTTCTTAAACAAAAGGTCGACATCTTGAGAAGATTAAACAACTATTTTGAGGAAACTCTTTTATACGACAATGCAATAAGAAGTGTTATGTATAATTACAAAACTCTGTTAGAAGCAGCAACGTATTACAATCTTAACCCCGAAGATATTAAAAAAGAAATTAATCAATACAACATATTACTAAAAAATAATAAAACCAAAGGACCGTACGAATATGACAAACCCTTAGACAAAGAGAGAATTTTTACATTTAAAGAGGAGCTCTCGTTAATGGATGATTTGCGTCAATGGAAATACAAAAATCAATCATTGTGTACTTGCCTCATTTGTGCGATGGTACAACTAGTAAGTCTAGCTTACCAGTCTGCTCGAGAGAAAAATAAAAAATATCTTCCAGAGTGGGATATGTATCAGCAGGCGGATCGGGATTGGCTGGTAATTTTCGAAATGACGCACAGCAGTAGACTTTCACAATTATATCAATACGACACCGTACAAGAATTATACGAAACATGTATGAATAAACAATTAGACGAAACATATAAGAATAAACAACCTTCGTCATTAGTATTATCGGATGAGAAAAATATATTCAAGGCACTAAGTAGTACCCACTCAATATCGAATCCATCCTCGCGTAAGAGAAAACATAATATTCCTAAGAAAATTAATCAACTCAATCTTGATGAAACGACCACACAAACGTCTCGGACAGCAACATCTACCATTTCACAAAATGACACTTTAACAGATCGTGACAAAATAGCAAGTGGTAATATTTTGCAAAAAGAAAATTCCGATTCATCGCAAGCTTATAATCAGAACACCAGCGAATTAAGAAACTTAAATGCTCTTATGGAACAGAAATCAGAAGTAATGTCTGAAAATCAGACAGCATCTGCCAGTTTTGCAACTAATCAATTTCAGAATGGCTTGTCTTCAAATCAATTTCAATTACTTGATTCCACAAATAAATATCAAGACATTTTAACAGATCGTGACAAAATAGCAAGTGATAATATTTTGCAAAAAGAAAATTCCGATTCATCGCAAGCTTATAATCAGAACACCAGCGAATTAAGAAACTTAAATGCTCTTATGGAACAGAAATCAGAAGTAATGTCTGAAAACCAGACAGCATCTGCCAGTTTTGCAACTAATCAATTTCAGAATGGCTTGTCTTCAAATCAATTTCAATTACTTGATTCCACAAATAAATATCAGGATACTTTAACAGATCATGACAAAATAGCAAGTGGTAATATTTTGCAAAAAGATGATTCCGATTCATCGCAAGCTTATAATCAGAACACCAGCGAATTAAGAAACTTAAATGCTCTTATGGAACAGAAATCAGATGTAATGTCTGAAAACCAGATAGCATCTGCCAGTTTTGCAACTAATCAATTTCAGAATGGCTTGTCTTCAAATCAATTTCAATTACCTGATTCCACAAATAAATATCAGGATACTTTAACAGATCATGACAAAATAGCAAGTGGTAATATTTTGCAAAAAGATAATTTCGATTCATCGCAAGCTTATAATCAGAACACCAACGAATTAGAAAACTTAAATGCTCATATAAAACAGAAGTTAAAAATAATGTTTACAGAACAGACATTTGCCAGTCTTGCAACTAATGAATTTCAGAATGACTTGGCTTCAAAGCAAAATCTCAATTACTTGATTCCACAAGTAAATATCGAGAAATCAATTAATGACATTTCGAAAAAAAAAATTCAATCTATCGCAAACATGCAATTATCAAAAGAAGAGTAAATTGTTTCAAAAAGACTTTTGAAATGATAGTCAAAAATAATTTTTAAAAAACTAATATCTGCTAATTTTATATGTACACAGTAAAAAATTTTGTGTTAAATTTAACATATTTCTCATGTCCCAATTTATCCACTCTAATTTTAATGTTAATTTAACAGAAAGCAAATATGAAATGATAAATAAATAACACAAGTAATATGTTTAAAAATTAACAAAAAATTGTAACTTTATCTGGAAATAAAGTTTATGTTAAATTAACATATTTGTCATGTTAAATTTAATTAAAAGAAAATGTTATTCTTACATTTTTATGATAAATAACAGAAAAGATATGTCGATCTAACATATGAAAACTGTTATAGAGAGAAAAATAACACAACTTGTCTGTTTATTTTAACATATAACATATTTTATCAAAAATCCGTGCATTTACATATTAATTGTGTTGTTTGAACTCTTAGAAATGGTATTAACTCAACGCAGCAATGTCAAAATAACGCAATGATAATATGTTATATTAATATAAGAGTATGTTAAATATTTAACACAAAAATTTTTACACGAGGAAATTTTAACAGAAATACAAAATGTTTTTTACCGTGTATTAATGTTCATAATGCTGTTTGAACTGTTTAATAAATGATCGAGATAGCAAATAATTTCAATATTTCGCAAAAAGAAGATTTTATCGCGAGCTTGCAACATTGTTGAATCATTCTTTAAGAAAACATGTCCATAAAAATGATTAGCGAATATATGAACTTACATATAAGATTACAGGAAAATTATTTTTGTACGAGGAAAAATGCTTAAAGAAGAGATAATATTTCGATTTTTTGGACCAATCTATTTAAATCCTTTTGGAAAGGAACAATAGAAGAGAAGGGAACTAAGATATTATTATTTAAAAATTACAAATTCTTGTTGTAATTCTTATAAATATTATCTGTAAATGTATTTCATAACCAGCAAAAATTCCAGAAAATGTGTGCGTTGAAAAATGTAATAATCCTAAATATTATTATACAATATTGTAGAAATTTACAGACTATAAACAATATATATAAATACATATAATAACAAATATATATATATATATAATATATATATAATTTATATATATATATATATATATATATATATATAATATATATATATATATAATTTATATATATATACATATTATATATATATATATATATATATATATATATATGTATATAAATGTTTAGCTGTGTTTATTTCTTAGATTCGAAATGCTACTTTTAAAATTAATTTGAAAAAAAGTTTATTGTATTGCATATGTATTGTTTTTTATTTATTAATGTTTAAAATAATTAAAAAAGTGTCACAAACTATCTTTACATAGATATTTATAAATGGAATATATATAATGAATACTTTCTTATTTTGTTATTATATATATATATATTATATATATATATATATTTGTTATTATATGTATTTATATATATTGTTTGTAGTCTGTAAATTTCTACAATATTGTATAATAATATTTAGGATTATTACATTTTTCAACGCACACATTTTCTTGAATTTTTGCTATGTTGCTGGTTTATTGTATATATATATATATATATATATATATATATATATATATATATAATAACAAAATAAGAAAGTATTCATTATATATATTCCATTTATAAATATCTATGTAAAGATAGTTTGTGGCACTTTTTTAATTATTTTAAACATTAATAAATAAAAAACATTACATATGCAATACAATAAACTTTTTTTCAAATTAATTTTAAAAATAGCATTTCGAATCTAAGAAATAAACACAGCTAAACATTTCTTATACTTTATAACTCTTAATCCCTTTCTGTATAACTGAAAAGATTCTTTGAAATTGCATATAATTATCAACATTATAAAATATTGAATAATACTTAAATTGTATAACATAAGTAAATAAATGATTTATATTTCCATATATATGATATTATTAAATCATAGTCTTTTAATTGCAATTCTTGTGACATTTAAATAGATTTTTACGATTAATTAATTTTTAAGATTAATAATTTTAATCAGATGTGAGAAAAAATTTACTTTTATTAAATGCGTATGTAAGTTTAAAAATGTGAATCTATTAGCCTTGATTTCAATAAATCTATAAAATGTTTAATATAATTAATGTAAATTTTAAATAAAATTTCTTTATATTAATTGAAATATATATGTCTATTAAATTTAATTAATATATATTTATATTAATAATATATATATATATATATATCGCTTGTTCAAATTAAATATCGGTATTTCCTTCGGTTATATTTAAAATAAAAATAGATAGTATTAACTATAAGATTTTTATTTTGAGAGTATTGTTATATCAAAAAAATTTTTATAATCTTTATAAGAAAAATATTCGAAATACTAAAATTCAGTATAAATTCAGTAGCCAATGAAGATACAAAGTATGTTTTCTTTAAACGTGCAGGAAAAACACGTACCACCTAGGAAAACATATTGATAAAATTCTTCTCTGTGCTTTGTTTACAATCTAAGTACGTGCTCTGTACTGTTTAATAGGTAATTATAAAAATTCGAATTTAGAAACTATAAATACCGTTTGATATCTAATAAATATTTTTCTGTAATAATTATCTTCTAATTATCTTTAAAGTATTTTAACTAAAACATACTGTTCAAACATACTGAAATTATGTATATAATATTAAATATTATTCAGTATTTACAAAATTTTGTTTTAAAACATCTTTAATCGTTTATTTTAAGTATATCTTTGAACGTTTATAAATGCATGAACAAAGAGTAAGACAAACATATCTATATCTAACATATATATATTGCCCAATATATATTCTTTACCTACTATGATATGCTTTCATAATTTCTTCCTTTCGCAGATTATCACAATGATTGCAATTAGAAAAAGAATTAAAAGGCATATGGAATCAAGAAAGAAGCTCGATGCAGCAATGCATCTTGTTCTCAATTCTACTAAAAGTATATATGCCGCGGCAATGCTTAGCGGAATTAAACATACCATTCTTCAACGAAAAATCAACATCATAAATAAAATGATAGCTTATTTCAAAGAGAAATCCGCATATGAAAATGCAGTAGATATGATTCTAAACAAAACACGAATTATTATCAATTATGAAGAGTACAAATTTGATCTCCCAAGACTAAATGAAGAAATTGATCAATACAAAAAATTCGGGACAGGACCTTACGAATATGACAAACCTATAAATCTCAATACAGAAGTTTTCACATTTAATGACGAGATATCATTATTGTTAAGATTACGTTGGTGGAAAAAAAAGTCTCTCTCGTCTTGCGTTTGCCAAATTTGTGCAATGGAATATCTATTACGTCTAGCTTATCAATTCGCCCAAGAAAATAATAAATCATATCCCAAAGCGTGGGATAGATCTAAGCAAGTGGATGAAGAATGGTTGATTGATTTTGAAATGGCACATAGTAAGGAATTGTCAAGAATGTTTCCGCATGATGGCATATATAAAGAGTGTAAACGTGAAGAAGAGTCCTCGTTGTTTAATGAAAAATATGTTTTTGAGATGCCAAGTAATTTCAATGTTTGATATCCGACAAATATTAATTCATTAGAAATGTTTAACGTTAATACATAATATGTCTCAAAAAGGAAGATCTATCCTTCTTAAAAATGACTACAGAATGACTGAATCAATTAACTCATAAATTTACAATTAAAATTATATTTACGAATTGAAATAAAGTAGATAAATAAATCTAAAACAGTCACGAATTCTGCGAATGATTATAGAATAAAAGATTGTAAAATCTAACGACTTTTTTTGGATAAATATATTTATGATTAATATTTTGTTGTTTATGCTTTTCTTTTTTATAAATATAAATCATCATGCTAAACTCTGTTGCATTTTAACATTTTTCAGATAATATTTAAACACTGCGAAAAAAGATAAAATTATAATAAGTAAATAATTACACATGTACAATATAAAAAAAAAAGATAGGTAAAAAATAGGTTTCCAAATCACAAAATAGCAAATGATTTTTTAAATTACTTCATGTTTCTGTATATGTAAGAATAAGATATTTTCAATTTTTATTATTGATTATATACCATTGCATACTTCCATGCAATAATCGAAGAGCATTTGCTTGTTTCGTATTAACTGTTGATACATTCATAAAATTATGTACGTGCCATTATATGCAATTTTTATAAATTGTGTATTTTATCAAGATAATTCGTCAAACGTTATTATGTGGTAAACAATTCAAAACAAGTTAATGAAGAATATTGTTAAATAAATTAATGACTTAAAAAGAATTAAATAAAAGAATTAAATAAAAAATTGAAATAAAAAATTATTATCAAATATAAAATTGTATATAATTATTAAATATATAAAAATATAAGTTAAATATTTTTCTTTGTTGTATTAAAAAAATACACACACATACACACCCTAGGGAACATGTTATATTTTGGATACATGATTTTTTAAACTTGGCGGGAGCTTTACCTGCCTTTAGCTGCCATAAGGACAAGATATGGAAACTTTTATCGTTCTGTAAGAAAAGACAGATAACCAATCAATTTCTCTTACGGAAAATCGCTTGATTGGTTACTGCGTCTGTGTCACACGATTTCCACATCCTGCCTGTATAAGCTATAGTTTGGGAACACGTGGTAATCTTGTTCAATTTGCCCTCAGTCATCACATTCTTCGGTTATCTGATTCAGGAATTCATTTCCGAATTTATTTCGTAAGTATAATTTTACACTTATATACTTTTCTTTAAACCTTGAAAAAAATTTTTTTGTACAATAATTTAAATAAACTAAAATTTCTGTGCAATGTTGATTATTATTTAGTATATTTATGAACTTTGTTACAAGAGATATATATATCCTTCAGTATATATGAAGGACAAAAGATTTACACTTTACAATCTTGCAATATTATCTTTAATATATATTCTATTTGTGTTTTTCTTTCTAGATCATGGATAAATCTATAGATTTGCTCGAGGAAGAAAAGAAATTTCAAAATATAAAGACCATGGACATCATAAGAAATTATCTCCAATTAAAACATAAACTCAATGCGGCAGCAGATTTTATTTTAAAGGAACAGGAAGATATACATAAAATCGCAAAAATGTATAGTCTTGAATATTCAATTCTTCATAAAAAAATCAGCATCATGGAAAGTTTGGAAAAGTTTATAGATGATAAAATTAAATATGAAAAAGCAGTAGAAACTGTTATGAAAGGTGAAGCAGTTATATCGGATTCTGGAAAAAAGCATGGAGTTGACATACCTACTCTATGCAATGAAATAGGATGGTTTTATGAAACTAGAGATGAAAAATACGAATATGATAGATCATTAGATCCTACTCGAATTTTCACATTTAAGCAGGAAATGTTATTATTAAAATATTTAGAATTGTGGATAAAACAGAAAATACCATTTTGTAGTTGTGCATCTTGTGTGATGGAAGAATTGTTGAACATAGCTTATAAATTTGCTAAACAGAATAAAATAAAATATCCATCAATGTGGAATATTCAGAAGAGAGCATCTGCAACATGGCTAATAAATTATGAAATGACATACAGCCATATAATTTCGCAGTTATTTTCGCATAATGACTGTTTCAGAGCTCCAATACCAAAAATGAATCCTTCTTGTTATTGTTATATCTTAAAGCTGAGGAAGAAGGATAAAGAGATATGCAAAACGAAGAAGAAGCTTCTAAGTTATTACTAATAGTATTAGAGTATATAATCAATCAAAAGACTCACTTGTAATTTTCTGCTCAAAAATGTTCTGCATGTAAAAATTAATATTCATCATTTTCTGGAACTGACTGACAAGCCTATGGATTTATGGATGTGCTGACAAGAAGTGATACTTGAAGAAGAGAGCATCCATTGAATCTGTAAATTTCAAAACACTGTTTATGGACAATTGACATTTCGCTCAGATACAAAATCAATTTTATATATTTCATTAATTTACATATGTATATATATATATATATATATATATACTATATACATATATATATACTATATACATATATATATATATATATATATATAGATTTATATATACATATATTGGAGAATTGTATAAGTACTATATAAAAATATATATATATATATGTGTGTATAAATATATATATATAAATACTATATTATGTACTACATATATATATATATATATATATATATATATATATGTATGTATATGTATAATATATACACGCATATTATGTATATTTACATCATGTATATTTGAATCTTTTCTAACTTACTTCACAAAATATTTGGTATGCTCTAATTTTCAATCATTTCTATAATACTTTTATTTTCTATAATATTTTTCAATAATACTTTTATTTTATACATATTATTTCTATTTCTAATACTTTAAATAATGAAATTGTATTTTTTTCTTGAAAGCACTTAATAAAGCGTCTCCTGAGATTTATTTTCACCATTCTATTCTAAAATGTCACCGTCTACTAAAAACTCTAGCGCCATCGTGTGCCATCATTCGTGAACACGTTACTGACACTGACTTATCGAGGTCTCCTCGAAGCAAAGCGATAACCTAGCGTGATAACCAGCGATAACCGGTATACCTTTACCAACTTTACGTTTCACTGCCAGTTTTACGGTTTCAGTGGAACTTTTCCCTTTCTATCTCCCTTCTAATATCGGGATCCAAAGTATATTTTGAGAGAGAATAATGCAAGCCAGTTTATGGAATTTGATCACCACCTCGATCAGGGTAAGTCGAGTAAGAAGATATCCGATGATTTCGTTCACATGATCTTACAAGTGATATTTTTCATTTAGACATCTCTTTCGTAACGTTCTGCAAAATAATTCATCTTGCATATTTTTCTTTTAATTTATTCGAAAGATGTTTGATAAGAATTTAAGTTAATAACGACGTAAAGTTACCTTCACAGGTTGATTATGTCATTGCTTTCTTTTATATTGAATTTCAATTGAATTTATCTTCTTAGTAACACTATTTGTGTGTATTCAGGCTATAAAATAAAGAAAAATTGAAAGAAGACATAATACAAATATAATTAAAAAAATATGGCAGCAGAATGATAGAATAATTTAAATATCATTTATATCATAATGTATGCTTATACACTTTTATCTCTCTCTCTCTTTTTCTATAAATTGACAATAGATTTCTTTGCATTTGAATACAATAAAAACTAGTTAAAAGGCTTCAAGGACCAATGCAAATGGTGAAAATATGCAAAAAATAGAACGGTTATTACAATTTAATAAGCCAAATGAAAATGTTTATTTAATTTAAACACGACAAATGCTGTGTTTCAATCCAATTTGGATTCTTTTCAATGTCCAGTAACAAAGTGAGTGATAAGCATAAAAATAAAAATTTCTATTTTTATTTTTATGTTTATCACTCACTTTGTTATTTGACATATGTTATTTGGCATATTTTGCAATATTCTATTTTTTGCATATTTTCACCATTGGGTTGGTCCTTGAAGCCTTTTAACTAATTTGTATTGATTTTACCTAACGGACCTTTACTTTATTATAATAATTTTCAATACATCTGAATCATCTATACATTTGGCGAATATATTTTATTTTTATTTCTCATTAGCCAACATGTATAAAACGTGTTCTCCCGGGTATGACAACTGCCCAGCAACGCAGGTATGCAAGTACGATAGATGCGGATGTAGTAGTGATTGGAGCTGGTCCTGGTGGATACGTAGCAGCAATCAAAGCTGCACAACTAGGCATGAAGACAGTATGCGTAGAGAAAGGTCCTACTTTAGGAGGCACATGTCTCAATGTTGGTTGTATTCCATCTAAATCACTTTTAAACAATTCACATTATTATCATATGGCACACAGTGGAGATTTGGCAAACCGTGGAGTTGTTGGTATGTGATTAAACTAAATAGATGGCTGCATTCAACAGGATGCTGCCCAGGTAGAACATGAAACTCATAATGACATCATTATGACGTCATCATGATTTTATTTATCACTTAAAAGTTACCTAAACAAAAATGAGTTAAAGATGATTAAAAGAATCATAAATTTTTAAATTCAATAATCGCATTATATAATTTTAAAAAGATTATGTTGCTTAAATATAATTCAAATATACATGAATAATTAAATAAACAAGTAATTGCGCAATATATATAAAAAATGATATTATTATGATTGAGTCTTAAGATTTCATATGTGAAGTATATATATTCTCCAACAGAGAATTCGTTAGAATTTTTTAATATCTCCAACAGAGAATTCGTTAGAATTTTTTAATATCAAAAATAAATCACCAAAATATTGCCAAAAATATATCAAATGAGATCATTATGATTTTTCTAAAATGACTTTTAGGTGACGTCATAATGATGTCATTATGAGTTTCATGTTCTACCTGGGTGCTTTGCAACTGTTGTAAAATTCGTGAATCTGATTGGTGTATGCTCTTAGATTTAGCCAAAATTAAGAGTCTACACCAATCAGGTTTACGAATTTTACAACAGTGAGCAAAGGAGCTTTTTCTGTTGAACACAGCTTCCATCAGATCCATCTTCCATCAGATTGTAATAGTATTAAATATTGATGTTTTTACAGTGTCAGATGTTCAACTTAATCTTAGTAAACTTATGGAACAGAAATTAAATGTGGTCAAGGCCTTGACCGGTGGTATAGCAGGTCTATTTAAGAAAAATAAGATCGAATGGGTCAATGGCCATGGAAAAATTACTGGCAAGAATCAAGTCACTGCCTTAAAATCTGATGGATCAGTGGAATCAACGATCAATACTAAGAATATTCTGATAGCAACCGGTAGCGAAGTTTCGCCATTTCCTGGTATCGAAATTGACGAAAAGCAGATAGTGTCCTCGACGGGTGCATTATCGCTCAGTGAAGTTCCCAAAAGACTTATTGTTATAGGAGCTGGAGTCATTGGATTGGAATTGGGCTCGGTCTGGCAAAGGTTTGTTTCAGAAATATACTTGAGAAAAATAATTGTTACATTCTTGCTAATTGTAACTTTTTTTATAGACTGGGTTCCGACGTTACGGCCGTTGAATTCATGTCGACAATTGGCGGTATGGGTATTGACGGAGAAGTCAGTAAAACGATGCAGAAGGTCCTAGCCAAGCAGGGTCTGAAATTCAAATTGGGAACCAAGGTTACAGCCGCTAACAAAAGTGGCAATGAGATCCTAGTTTCAGTTGAGGATGCGAAAGATTCCAATAAAAAGGAGGACTTAGCGTGTGACGTATTATTGGTGTGCGTTGGCAGAAGACCGTATACGCAAAATCTAGGTCTGGAAGATTTGGGTATTGAGAGGGACGAAAAAGGAAGAATACCCGTGAACAACCGGTTCCAAACGGTAGTACCTAGGTAAATACATTATTAGGTTGAATATAATATACATACAATACATATAATTACATTACGTTGAATGATAAAGCGCTATTTGATTTTCATTTCCTCTGATATTTATGACTGAATGATTTTGATTTTGTTATTTTACTATTGTAATTTAATTCACAGTATCTATGCTATCGGAGATTGCATTCATGGACCAATGCTAGCTCATAAGGCCGAGGATGAGGGCATAATCACAGTGGAAGGTATTGCCGGAGGTAAATCATATTTTAAATACATTCTTTTTTTCATATTTGATCCTTAATAAAATATAAATTATTATAATACAATGCAGGCGCGGTTCACATTGACTACAACTGCGTGCCGAGCGTAATATACACGCATCCAGAAGTCGGTTGGGTTGGCAAGACGGAGGAAGATCTGAAAAAAGAGGGCATCGACTACAAGGTTGGCAAGTTCCCATTCATGGCGAATTCACGAGCGAAAACGAATCTAGATACGGACGGTTTTGCTAAAGTACTCGCGGATAGCAATACGGATAAAATCCTGGGCGTACATATGATTGGACCAAGCGCAGGCGAGCTTATCAACGAGGCAGTTCTTGCAATGGAGTACGGAGCTAGCGCAGAAGACGTTGCTCGTGTATGCCACGCACATCCGGTAAGTATTTAACAATTTATAAGAATTTTGCTTTGTGTATATGAAACTCCTTCTTTTTATACAAGTATATTGAATATTTTCAATTTAAGAAAAAAAATTTGTTGAAATTGACTCTTCAAATTTAATGAAATTAATGAGAAAAAAATCTAAAAAAAATCTGAATTAAATTATTATATTTAATTATTATATTTGTTTTATTACTTTACTATGTTTGCTAATGTGATTCTACTTTACAGACATGCGCCGAGGCACTCAGAGAGGCTCATCTGGCAGCTTACTTTGGCAAGCCTATCAATTTTTAAATTATTATGGAGGATAAATGATTCATTGACACTTGATAGTCCACATTTTCACTGTGCATTTAGCACTTAACATATACGCTTAACATATCTGTTTGAAACTGGTATAATAAAGTGCATAGACAAATATGATTAAGATCCATGCTGAATGCACCATGGGAATGTACAGCCCCTTTGACATCTCATCGTAGTCTCAATCTAGTCTACGTATCAACGTCATGGGCAAACTAGCGCGTTGTCGCTTAATCGCATAAAAGATTGTAAATAAAAGTTTTAAATCATTATATGCAAAGGTAATGATTAATTATCTCTGTCAGGTGATTACTGTATTTATTAAATACATATTGAATAAATAAAAAATGCAAAACATTCTAATTTAACCAGATCTTCCAATTATTCTTTTTAAAGGCAAAAATTAAAAAATTATATGGCATACATGAAACCAAATAAATAAAATTTTTAAACAAACTGGTTTGAAAAAAAATTCTTGTATATTTTAAAAAAGAGTATTATTTTCATAAGAAAAATTATTTTGAACTTTGTTTCATAAGCTAAAAAATTTAAGACAATTCCTTATGTTAATTTATAATGACTTAATTACATTTTCTAAATTTATTTTTGTATGTTTTTTTCATATTGTTTTAAATAAAAAAAAAGTTTAAAAAAAATATATTCTTTAATAAATGCGATTGGATTAACTTTATTCAACTTACTTATTTCGCGCATGCGTTTTGGCCAACACTGACATCAAAGATGTCGCCAGAACGGTAAGTGACGTCGCGTCTAGCTTGCCCTGGCTCCCCTGGCTTGTCATTGCGGTCACAAGTTTTCTATTTTTAACAAACCTTACCAAAAGAATGAATTGTTATTCAAATTGCGGTCGCAAATCTACGTAAAAATTAAATTCAAAATTCCGCCACGAAGGAGCTAAAAGGAATTAAAGTCGACGTTAAATCTGAATTGTTAACCTCTCTTGATGCTTCAGAAGCACAGGATTAGAGTATACGCAATTTTATTCTGGGATAGGAATATGAGGTATGTACTTGGTTTTTCCTCAATGAATATTTTCTTCGTATCTAATTTCTAGATGACATGAACAATTTAAATTTAAACTTAATAACTTTATGGTAATTTCATTTTTAATTAATATAATTTTTTCTTATTTACTAAAATTTAATCCTTTAAATTTATTTATTTATAAATATAAATTCCATGAAAATTCGTCTATTTTTTATATTAATAAAATAACTTTCAATAATATTTTAAATCTTCATGAATACCCATTAAATAATGTAATGATTTTATCAATATTTTATTTACTTTTCTCTCTTTTTTCCATTATTAAAATTTGCTCATCAAAATCAATAACACTCCGAAAAATTAATTAAATTAATCATTATGAACAAAAATTTATCATTTTTTAATAAATCTTTAATTAAACTACCCACTCCAATCAATATTTCATATTGATGAAATTTTGGATCTTTATTTTGGGAATATTTTTAGGTATTCAAATTCTTAGAGGATTTTTTCTATCAATACATGTATTGTCCCAATACAAACTATGCATTCAACAGAATTATTCATATTATTCAAAATATTAATTTAGGGTGATTGCTTCACAATATTCATATTAATGGTGCCTCTATATTTTTCTAGGTGATATTTATTCTTCGTGTCGCTTACCTCAACATGAGCTACAACAAGAAAGTCGCGTACTTTTACAACCCGGAGGTGGGTAACTTCCATTATGGGCCGGGTCATCCTATGAAACCCCATCGGCTGTCTGTCATCCATAGTCTGGTGCTCAACTATGGCCTCCACAGGAAGATGCAAATTTATCGACCGTATCGTGCCAGCACCCACGATATGTGTCGCTTCCACTCGGAGGACTACGTGGAATTTCTACAACGCGTTACTCCACAGAATCTGCAAGGCTACACAAAGTACCTGAGCCACTTCAACGTGGGCGACGACTGCCCCGTGTTCGACGGCCTCTTCGACTTCTGCTCCATGTACACCGGCGCATCGTTGGACGGCGCTACCAAGCTGAATAACAATTGCTGCGATATCGCCGTTAACTGGAGCGGTGGGTTGCATCACGCCAAGAAATTCGAGGCGTCCGGCTTTTGCTACATCAACGACATTGTGATCGCTATATTAGAATTGCTTAAGTACCGTGCCCGAGTGCTGTACATCGACATCGATGTACATCACGGAGACGGCGTGCAGGAGGCCTTCTATCTGACCGATCGCGTCATGACCGTATCGTTTCATAAATACGGCAATTACTTCTTCCCCGGTACCGGTGACATGTACGAGATCGGCGCCGAAAGCGGCCGATATTATTCGGTAAATGTACCGCTGAAAGAAGGAATTGACGATGGATCGTACATTCAGGTCTTCAAGCCCGTCATATCTCACGTGATGGAGTTCTTCCAGCCAACGGCGATAGTGCTTCAATGCGGTGCCGATTCCCTCGCCAACGATCGACTTGGCTGCTTCAGTCTCAGTACAAAGGGTCATGGCGAGTGCGTGAAATTCGTGAGGGACTTGAATGTACCGTTGTTGACTGTCGGCGGTGGTGGTTACACTTTGCGAAACGTCGCTCGATGCTGGACTTACGAGACATCCTTGCTCGTCGACGAGCAAATCAGCAACGAGTTGCCGTACACCGAATACTTGGAATACTTCGCGCCAGACTTTACTCTACATCCCGAAGTCGTGACCAGACAGGATAACGCCAACAGTAAGCAGTACTTGGAAGCGATCACGCGACACGTCTACGACAATCTCAAAATGATTCAGCATTCGCCGAGTGTGCAAATGCAGGACGTCCCGTGCGATGCGTTGCCGCCCGAAGAGGAGAGACAGCCAGAACCGGATCCGGACTCGCGACAAAATGCGCAGGACACGGACAAGATTGTGGAGCCTGCGAACGAGTATTACGCTGGGGATAAAGATCAGGACAAGTTAGATGTGAATGATTCGTGATAAGAACAGTGAAAGAGATTGTAAAGTATTGCTCGAAAATTTCTGATCTTTTGTACGATACACGGATTAAGCGCGATTAGAATATTTTATATTAGTTAATCGACAAATTGCCGTGAAAAATATTGAAGTAATCTTTTTTATAATTGATTTTAAGATAATAAGTATGATAAACTATTATTTAATATAAAATCTAAACTTTTTCGAGACTTCTTATCATTATACGACAACAATTATTACAATATATTGTTAGACATAAAAGCATAGCAAATGTATAAAAGAATTGTACATAAAAATTCATTTTGTAATAAAATATGCATATTTTAGTTAAATATTGCATAAACTTTCAATAAACAATTGCATAAAATATGCGTATATATCATAGATAACAAAGTATTCAATATTGCTATTAAAAGAAGGAACCTAATTCTTAACTAAAGAAGTTGCGTGACATATTCTAATTAGAATATCTGGTCTCAAATATCCATTAGGCAAGTTTATTGTTCTACAGTTCAGACAGTGATATCTGTATTGTCTACAATAGTACAACAACGATGACGAGGACGATATTAATAGCGATAATAGTGTAATAATAGTAATAGCAATAACGATAACGTCTGTATCTCTGTCTTGGGGCTATCTCGCTATATCACAGAGAATTTAATCTTCGTACAATATAATTGTTCCTTCTCCTTTTCCCTATCTGCCTGCAAAGTAGAAACGCAAAACGATTCTGCTATGGGAGTATGGATGGGGGCGAGGGGAGGATAAACGGATTTTTTCGCTCGATAAGAGCATACTAAATATACGCGACTAATTACAATAAATTAGATTTCTTAAATTAAGGCGCTTTGTGTTCTGTACATTCGTCGTATTTTGTAAACTCTACAAAAAATTTCTTTCAAAAAATAATACACATATAAAAATATTCACGGTACGAGGAACGCAAATATTACTTGCAATTCGATTCACTCTTTGCAGAAAAACGGTGCAAAAAATTACTATGCAGAGACAATGCGTGGTATGTTCTTTGCAAATGGGTAGCATTGCGTAACACTGGACCTCGAAGAATATTGCGCGTAGCTTGCAAAAAACTATTCACGAAGCTTATGGTTATTTATTATCTTTTCTCCTTTTTCAAAAAATTCTGTCTCATTCTTACAAAGCGCGTGCGTATATATGCATATATATATGTATATATAAAGTTTTTTTCAGTCTCATAGTAACAGCAATTCCATTTGGTGTTTAGTTTTTCATCGAATTCTTTGCATATACTCTTGCGGCTCGTACGTTTTACGATTTTACGAAACTATATACAGCGTACAACAAGGGGATATAATTAGGCAGTGCTTCAGCGATCCTTGACAATCTCTGGACAAATCTTTGTTTCATATTTCTTCCCTTTCAGCTTTGTCCTATAACATTTGTTTGACTAGATGCTGTTGTTCTTTCTCGCTCATCGATTTTAAGAACTTTCGATAGGTACAATTAGAACATATCTGGTAGGCAACATAACGAAAAAGTGATCAGTTACGTTTCGAAATGCTTGTAAATGCTGGTCACGTACGTCATGACCTGTTGCCAATCAGGTCGCTCGAGTTGACACATCTCACCAATATTCTGAAAAAAAAAATAATAATTTTTGTTAACCATTCTGTGAATTCAAGAATAGCTTGTTGATCGACTTACCAAAGTAGTAGGTATGCCGACACTCTCGGCAGCAGAGAAGGCGATCGAGAAGTTTCGTCGTTTTTCGATCGGCGTCAACGTGTCATACGGTACCTTGCGCGGCAAATAGGAATGCATGAGTGCGCAAAATGCCAAACCATCGTTCCAGGAACTACTGAAATTAGTTATATCGATGTTTCGATAGCCTATCGTCTTGTTTTGACACCACTTGAGCAAGGCATTACGCTTGGACCCGCCGTTTTTAACTAAACCGCACAGAGGATCTTTGCGCTCCGATAGATCAGTGACGCTGTTTCGACGCACAAAATCGATTGCCTTGGCGTTTAAGGCGGCCGAGTCCAATAACTCGCCCGGACTCAAAACTACAGGTGTTGACTTTGTTTCTGCATAAAAATTGAAATATTTAATTAGACATGAGAAAAAATTTCTTTTCTCCTAAAATGTGCAATAATTTTTATGCTTTTGTTGTATTTTTATACCGTACAAATTTTACACTTATATAAAATCTTAAATTGAAAATTACCTGATATTGGTTTCTTTGCGATTGTAGATTGCGTCTTATTGTTATTTGTCGAATTTGCCGTGCAAATTAAATTATTAATCTGCTGTTGATCTCTGAGGGGAGCCTTCAAAGAGATAATGTCGGTAGTTCCGATCGAATTAAGAGATGATGTAGAACTGCTACGACTTCCAGGTCCTAAATATGTAAAATAATTCCGTTTTTTTATCTTCAAATCACATTGCATCATATTTTCGGTTTTTATTTTTTAAATTAAAAAAAAAAAATATATATATATATATATATATATATATATATATATATATATACAGGATGTATCTTAAAAAGCTCCCACCAAGCAAATAGCGTTATTCCTGATTAAAAACTGAGTTGAAAAGCCCTGAACCATTTTTTTTCCAAGATTAATTAAATAATTAATCAGATTTAAGTATTAAAAAGATTTCTGAAAAGATGAATTGTTTAAAAATTAACACAAAACAGTTTATTTTTTTGCTTATCCAAATCTTCATATGGTGATAACGAGGAAGTTTGTCTTTATTGATACGACTTTACTCATTAATTACTGCTTTATTAAGCATTATGGAAAAAATTACTGCTTTATTAATTACTGCTTTATTAAGTATTATGGAAAAAAATGGTTCAGGACTTTTCGACTCGGTTTTTAAGAAATAACGCTATTTGCTTAGTGGGAGCTTTTTAAGATACACCCTGTATATTAATAACTTATATATTTTTCATATATTTTTTGTAATTTAAAGATAACATTGTAAACAATATGTATTGACGATTACAATTGTACATATCCTAAAATTATATTGTACTCACCAGCTTTAGCCTGTTTGGTAGCATTCTCAATACTCTCGATTAGACATTTCACAGAAAGTCTGGAGTCTTGACGCGAGATATTGGCCTTCCTACGAGCAGCAATCTCCTGCTGCACACTCGTCAATACAGATTGTTGAGTTTCCGTTGGTGTACTGGCTGGTCTTGGAGGCGGCTGTTGTATTACTACCTTCTGGTTAGCTAGAAAATTTTCAATTTGCTTGTTACACTTTTATCGGAAATTATCGCGAGCGATTAACTGAACAATAATGGAAGCGATAAGCCGTAAATAAAATTTATACATAAAATAAAGCGTAAATGACTGATAATTAAAATACTTGAATTTTATAGGCTTTTATAAATTTATGATAGTTTGCACACTCGTACGGATTAAATAAATAAGGACAAAGAGATCGATGATAGAAAACATAAATAAGCGAGTAAATTGTAATACAGAATTTGAGAAACACAAAGAAAGCCAAGTAACAGTCAATGGAGACAACGTGGGCGATACAATGCTAACGATACGAAGGTACACGAATTTCTTGTATTCTTTGTCTAGATCGAGGAGCCAGGACGGACAATGGAATCGAATTTCTGTGATACAAGCGTAGTCGTGATTCCCACATTAACAGAGCGACTTACGGTCGCAAGATTTGCTTATTTGTGAACGCCTTCCCGACGACGTCCTTAATTCAATGTCTTCCATGATCGTCTCAAATTTTTCTCTCAAGGATGATGTTCGTCCCATCGGCAGCGGTTGATCCTTATTTCGATCCGATTCCAAGTCGACACTTTGTGACGTTTCATTTATTCTACAAAATTTACTTTCGGAAGGAACCACTTTCTCGATTTGAGAATCATTCTCGCTTGCAGCAGCTTGCAAACTATTTTGCAAGAATTTTATACGATTCAATCGTATGCGATTAGTTTCTCTCAAATTCGAGTTTTCTGATTTTTGTATCTCTTTATTACACGACGAAAGTTCCATTTGTTTTTTTTTATCAATGGAAGAACACTTGCGCGACTCCGAAATTTTTTTTTCATTTTCAGAAGAAATTCTTAGCGTCTGGCATGTAGGAGTAATCGAGATCGATGAGAGACATCTTGACGCAGAGGGAACTTTCGTCGAGGATATCAATGGATATGATTTCGACCTCATTAAAGGAGCACTTGACGTATCATAGGGACTCTTTATTTTTTCGAATTTCAACGAATTTATATTGGCTGCAATATTTTTATCAGACGAATCCGATATTTTGGATTTTTCAAGTATATCGGATGCAGATTTCGTTGTAATTTTTTCGTCATCGATGATCACATGTTTTGCTGTCCATAATTGATTATAGCATGTTTCTTGCTTTACGGTTTCGTCTCTCGAATGGGAAACTTTTGACGGGGAAAATGTACAATTTCCATATTTCATTTCGCGTGATTTTTCTTCGCTCTCGTGCAAATTAACACGATCGTCAAGTTTGTTTAATGATTCGATATTTCTAATGTGTAATGCCGCAGATGTTTCTGATTTTGAAGTTATTTCACCTAAGAGAGAATCAATTACCTCGTGACTTGGTTTTGATTCGCGCTTGTTTAAAAATAGCTTCTGCCTTTGTTCGGTTCTATTGCTTTCTTTCGATCTTAGATTTACGAGCGATGTATCTGAAAGCGTCCTTAAATATTTGAAATTTGAATCTTCGTTACGTTGTCCTGCTGAATTATTCAATGAAGTTTCTGATGATACCATTGTATTATTATTCAAAGATGACGGACCCGTTTCAATGTCGATTAAAACAGGCGAGTTCGTGCTGATCTGCGGATTACTGTAACTTCTCTGCAACAGTTTCCCCATTTCCGGATCAACTTCGAACTTTAAGTCGTCCATCACGCATTCTATACCAGAATATACGTAATCCTTTGGTACGAAGAATCTACTATTCGAGATGTTGATGCCATATGCATCTCTATCGGCGTTTTGAATACTGCGGATATTTTTCAATAAGGAATTCTTAGTCACAGCCTCTTTATCTGATATGTTCGTGACAGTAATATACAGTTTTGGATAATCCTCCGCGATTATCGGTGATTTATCGGAATTGATCGAACTATGAGACTTGTTCGATTCAAAGTTATTCAAATTTAAATAGAACTTTGAAGATTCGTCTTCTGAAATTTTTGCTTGTCTTGAATTCTCATTTATTAAATGCACATCCGTTTCATCTGGAACGCACTGATTGTTGATGCGAAAGGCGGGACAGATTTCAATCTCCTCGCCGGAAATGAGTTTATCCTCCAATTTAATAGCCTTTTTGGGCGATGGTGTAGTGTTCTCGATAGCTAGGCTATTATCCGGCGATAAATCGAATCCGTTTTGACACGGAGATGCGATGGTATTAACGTCCTCGGGCTTTAGTTTATGTAAGTCCTGGCCGCTTGTTATCATTTTACTGGATAAGCTGTTTCGTAACGAATGTTTTTTCGAATCACAACGATTCTTTAGTATCGTTCGACCGCGTTTTAATATAACGCTCGTTGCTTTCCGTTTACTTCCGTTTACGATATCGAGTGTCTTGCAGCAAGTCACTGCAGTGCTATCTAGTACGCAGTCCGGATTAAGAAAACAGGAACAATTACGAAATTAATAATTAGAAGTATTTCTCAATAGCTATGTAAAGTATATTAAATGAAAAAAGGAAAGAATTAAAGTTCATTACCGAATTAATGAATTTGTTTCCTTTCATTATGAAATAAAAATTTTAATATTGTTTTTCTCTTTTCTCCCCCAAAAAAAATTCTGTGTTGAAATATTATATGCTGTATGCAAAATATCACATATTTGCTATTGTGTTAACGATATACAACAATTTGAAACGATTTTTTAAACCTTCATAATTGTATTATCGCATAAATTTCTGCTCCAAAGTAAATCATCGTTTTATTTACCTTTGTTAAGCTTATCGAGCTGTGCTTCCAGTGATCTGAGTTTATCCCTTTGCGCCTTGTTCTCCATAACTACGCGCTCGAGCTCACTCTGGGCCTCAGTCTTGAAATCATTGGCAACTCGCACCGTCATTAGCAAATCGGTCTGGAATTGTTGCCATTCTGCGCTCTCATCCTGCCTTAGCTTGCGCTCGTCAGCCAACGCACGCTCCAATTCGTATAATCGCGTTTGCGTTTCACGTTCCTTTCGCTGTGCCTCGCTCAATGTTGCCTTCAGCTCCCGTTTGTCCTCCAGATGCCGTTGGCACTGCGTTTGCAATTCCGCCAACGAATCTCGAACAAGCTGCAGTTCCGTGCTTACGGACAGTCGCTCATCTTTCAACTGATTCAATCTATATTCTAAGTCATCTATAGCAGATTTCGCATTGTTTCGTGCTACCTGAAAGTATTTAGAAATAATTCTCTATTCATTTAGAAATAATTCTTTATTCATTTTTAATATAAATTTAAGTGTCTTTTATTTAGTTATTGCTTATTATAGCTTAAAGAAAAAAAAATAAATATTTTTCTAATAAATTAATATTTATTAGAAAAATTAATTTTAAATAAATAAATTAAATTAATTTTTAATAAATATTTAATCAAAATTTAATCAAAAAATTTCAAATTTATGACTGTTACTACTACATACATATAGAGTAAACGTACTTTATACTCTTCCTGAAGTTGCGAATATTGGTCCCTTAGTCGATCGTGATCGCAATGCGAACGTGCCAACTGTTCCTGAAGTGCCGCCGCTTGCGTTTCTAATGTATCCTTTTCTCGTCTAGCCGCATCGAGCAATTCGTCCGCTTCACTCTTGTTTTCCAGCTGCCTCGATTGTTCCAGTTCCTCAATCTTTGCTCGCGCGTTCTCCAATAGAGTTGCCAATCTGCTGATTTCTATACTGCGATTTGCACCCTCTTGCCTAGCTTCCGTCAACTCTATATCTAACTGTTTCCGTTCAATATTCGCAGCGTCTACCGATGTCTCCAATAATTCGAGGCATTTTGTCAAACGTTCCGTCTCAGCTGCACTAGCGTCAGCAGTCGTTCTTAGATTTTTCAATTCGCTAGTTAACTCTTCCTGCTTTTGAAGCAAAGCTTCTCGTTCCTCTTGTGCACTCTGTGTAACCAACATGTAAATAATTAGTAACTAGTAGTAAATCAGCTTTCTGCTGATTGTATACAAATTTAGATACACTCACTTTTAAAAGATCTACCAGTTTCTGCTCCCTTTCCGTATTGTAACCTTTAGATGCTTCTTGTGGCTGTTCATCCCTTAAAAGCAGTTCTTGTAGAGTGTCGACTTTGGATCGAGAGTCTTCTAATTTCTCCGTCTGACGACACAATGACTCCAAAAGAACTGTTTTCTCTTCGGTTAATCTTTCATTATCCGCTTGTAGCTCTACTAGTTGCGTCTGTATAATCATTAATCATTAATTTGTTAGAGGCTATTTCAATTTCAAGAATACTTCTCAGTATTAATAAATAAAAGCAAACCTGTAAGTCGCTTAATTCTTGAATGGTCGCCTGTAATTCTTCATTTGTCGAATAATGTGTTTCCTCCATTTGCAAGATTCTATCCTGCAAACATGCAACCGAAACCTCCGACATTGAGCTGGAGGAATGCTTGTCCCAGTCAGGAGTAGTACATTGAGCACCCTCCTGAGGTATACCGGTATTGTTTCCAGAAGCATCATCTTGAGGAATGGCGATAGAGGCTGGTGCAGAGTTGTGAAGTCTCGAAGCATCTAGCAACAGTTGTTGTTTCTCTGAATCTGACAGCGGAGAGTGTGTCACGTCCCTAAGACGAGCACGAAGAGCTTCGTTTTCTTCAGTAAGACGTTCCAGCTCCAGGCTATGCTGCTCCTATTCACGAAAGCAATAAATATATGAATATTACTATCTCATAAACACTAAACAATAATTTAGGAAAACATGGATATAATATATGAAGCAAAACGTCTTAATAAAAAATATTAGCGTCATTTTATCTCATTACAAGTACAAATTTATTATATAAATATAATTATACAAATATAATTATATAAATTATATATATAAATTATATAAATATAAATTATATTATATAAATGATATAATTATATAAATATTTAAAATTTATAATTATACAAATATTTCAGTTATATTTACAGTCATACTCTACACACACGAAAAGGTCGCAATATAATCATGTAACTTTAGATCAGGGAATCTTGTATACATAAAAAATCGCGATACGAAAAAATATTCTAAAAAAAATACATCGTGAAGACACGTCACAATCATAACATTCGTCTTGTTTGGGAAACAAGAGCTCGAGCGAGGGACGCTTCTCATAACCGTCGCAGGCGAGAGGGCTGAAGGGGGGCGAGGGGAGGGGGGGTTCGGCAGCAGATTCGAGGTTAGAATTTATGCCAACGATCGCGCCGGCAAATCGGAGCTCCCGATGACGAGTAAGAAAAACGCCGTGATATTTACTGCGCGCTTTAAAACGAACGGCATTTACCGTGGGCGACGAGAAGCAACGCTTCTTCATGTCGAATCCGCTCGGTTTCCCCGGCTCTCTTCCTCTTCCTACTGTTTTCTATGTAAAACGTAAACTCGTAAACATCCCCGCCGCGTCCTACGCCCTCTGGCTCCGTTTTCGTCCAAGCGAAAAATTGCCTCCTTTTTTCTCTCTCTTTCTCTAATACTCTAACGGTTATATGTCGGTTACAGTTTTGAAGAAAAAAAAAAATTGGTATAATTTTTGACGTTGTACAGAAACGCGATCCCTCCAGAAAATTATCCCTCCATTTATTCGCGACGACGGAAATGCGATTATTGTGAATATTCCGCTTTTTCTAGGCGACGTTTGAACGCAGATTATATAACGGAAAGGATTTTATAATCCTTGAGTAACGATCATGATAATAGGGAGGGGAAGGAAAAGCAACGAGAGGGTGCATTCCTGTGGAATAATTTCGTGGAGCTGGAATTCATTCGGAACGGCAATTGCGAGAATGTAACGATTGTGGAAGCATGTAAAGATAAAAGGAACTTGAAATAATAATAAGACGATTTTCATATTTCTATACAAATTTTCGAAAAATTTTTGCGCGAAGAATAGAGGCGAGCTTTTATCAAAATTAAGCTTCGGACAAATAAATTTTTTCTTTTTAAAAGATCATGAAAAATTTACACAGTTAATCAAAGTTACTAAATATTGAAAAATTGTAAAAAAATATTCAAGTTTTTATTAAGAAAATACTGAATTTTTTTTCGGAACGGCAATTGCGAGAATGTAACGATTGTAGAAGCATGATAAGATAAAAGGAACTTCAAATAATAATAAGACAATTTTCATATTTCTATTTTCGAAAAATTTTTGCGCGAAGAATAGAGGCGAGCTTTTATAAAAATTAAGCTTTGGACAAATAAATTTTTTCTTTTTAAAAAATCATGAAAAATTTACACAGTTAATCAAAATTACTAAATATTGAAAAATTGTAAAAAAATATTCAAATTTTTATTAAGAAAATATTGAATTTTTTTTCGGAACGGCAATTGCGAGAATGTAACGATTGTGGAAGCATGTAAAGATAAAAGGAACTTGAAATAAGACGATTTTCATATTTCTATAAAAATTTTCGAAAAATTTTTGCGCGAAGAATAAAGGTGAGTTTTTATAAAAATTAAGCTTCGGACAAATAAATTTTTTCTTTTTAAAAAATCATGAAAAATTTACACAGTTAATCAAAATTACTAAACATTGAAAAATTGTAAAAAAATATTCAAATTTTTATTAAGAAAATATTGAATTTTTTTTCGGAACGGCAATTGCGAGAATGTAGCGATTGTGGAAGCATGTAAAGATAAAACGAACTTGAAATAATAATAAGACGGTTTTCATATTTCTATAACAAAATTTTCGAAAAATTTTTACGCGAAGAATAAAGGCGAGCTTTTATCAAAATTAAACTTCGGACAAATAAATTTTTTCTTTTTAAAAAATCATAAAAAATTTACACAGTTAATCAAAGTGACTAAATATTGAAAAATTGTAAAAAGATATTCAAGTTTTTATTAAGAAAATATTGAATTTTTTTAAATACAATATATATATTTTATAATATAATGCTAGACTCGTGTTTAACTGATTGTGAGAAACAACATATGTTTTATAGGATCGATCTATTTAACTGCAATTTAGATGCAAAGAAGATATTTTTATAGCCGCTCCTTCCCTCGATTATACCTTACGTTGTCTTCCTTCTACGGTCGCAAAAACGCGAATAGGAGAAGAGGGGACAACGTAGGCATGCACGTGTGCACGATGCATATTTAGAAGGGGAAGGAAAGAATTAATGCGAGGCGTCAACTGCAGATGAATCAGAATAACATCGCGTCGCGATGTAATTTATTCATCGAGTGCATTTTGCATTCGCAAAACACTTTGCATTCCAATTGTCAATATATCTTTTATAGTTGATATATTATCGTACAGCCGAGAGTAAAGAGATACAAAATGTAATTCCACTCGAATAATTATTTACAAATCATAAACGTTTAATTTTATATTTATATTGAGATGTGATTTTAAATCAAATCGTTAATAAAAGATCGATTAATGTTTAATCTATTATTATAAATGAAAGAATCAAAAAATTCAATAGTAAAATTTTAAACTTTCGCACGATATTATATATTATATCAAGTGTGTAAAATTATAATAAAGGATTTCAATGTCTGCACGCATCTAGATAAACATTCGAAATAGCTACAGTTGGCCAACACGTGAAATGAGGAGAAGGACGCAGACAAAATATTATTCGTCATAAATACCGAATTTTATAGATAACGCATGCCTTTATTTATATCGTTCGACTTTTCGCTTCTAATACTACAAGAAATTCTTTGAATTCTTTTATCAGAACGAATTTAAATTATAAGTGTTATAATTTGTTAATTATAATAATTTAAACAAAGAACTTTGGAAAAATAAAAGTTCATCAAAAAAAACATTTAGATATTTTTCCATTGCATTGTATTCGTTCGAGAAATGATATAATCAATCTTAATTTTGACGAAAGAGATATCAAAGATGATTAAGAAGAAGAATGAAGAAATTATATACATATCTTGATTCGATATCGAGAAAGAGATACGATCGTGATACAAAAGATCATACAAGCGCGAATGTAATAGAATCTCTCAAAGAAATCAAGAATAGTCATCACATATCGATAACCGGGACCGGGATTGCGCCATCGACACAAAAATTTCTGAGGTGATTATGATGCATTAATTTGCAAATGTCACATATATTATCCAAATCTTTCATCGAGAGAATCACGTTCTTTCATCAAAATATTTCTCTCTTTTTAATATAATTATTATCAATATTTATTTAATATAACTATTTAATATAATTATTTAATATAATTATTATTAATATATTTATTTAATATAATTATTTATTATAATCATTATTAATATATTTATTTAATATAATTATTATTAATATATTTATTTAATATAATTATTATTAATATATTTATTTAATATAATTATTTAATATAATTATTATTAATATCTTTATTTAATATAATTATTTAATATAATTATAATTTTAATAAATTTATTAAATCTAATAATTATGAATATTCCTTCGAAAATTATTTCTCCAATTTAGATCTGACGAAAGGCTTACCTTGAGAGAGGCGAGCTCGGCGCGCAACTCGCGCAGATTCTGAGCATCGGCCAGCGCGTCGTGCAGGTTCGCCTCGAGGTGCGCGCGATCCTTGCGTAGGGCCTCGATCTCGCGCTCCAGTTCCTGCATCCTGGAGGCCTTGCCGGGGCCCTTGGACGTCGTCGTCGCTTTGGATCTGGCCGGCTCCTTGCCGCCCAGGGAGCCGGCCCAGTTGTTCCCGGTCGACGGGACGTCGCTCTTCGCCTCCAGCGAGGAGGCGCTCGACGCCTGGCGCAGCGGCGCCGATTGCTGCTGCTGCTGCGCCGACTGCTGGCTGGGCTGTCCTCTGCGAAATAGCGATTTGAACTTCATCATGGTCACTCGACTGATCACCGCGTGTCACAAATGATGGTTTCTTTTTCACGTAAGCGAGAGAGGAAGTCCGAGAGAAAGCGGGATGATTCTTATTCTATCCGAATCTCGTCGACGAGGAGAAGCGACTAGGCAGCCTGCGACCTGGAACGACCCTCGCCGTCAACGGACGATGACATCGTCCGCTGTTCCCGTTAGAGAACGCTCGTCAAGGACTCGGATGAGGAGGAGAATGAGCGCGTCAAGATCCCCGTCATCCTGTCATCCTGTCGCTTACGATGAATGGACGTAATTGTTGTTAAGTCACGGATACAAATTAACGTGGAGATTCGATAAACCGTGTCTTCTGATTAGATCCTCGCGGAAGGACTCGGAGTGTCGGGGTGCGAGAGATTCATCCTCGAGGAATCCTGATAGAGGCTCCGATTGTGTATGTGTGTGTCAGTTAACAATTCTTTTAATAATGCTGTATTTTCAAAGTGTCTTTTTAATGAATAGTTTTCCGATGTTGAGATTATGCAAATATATTTTTCACTTTGATAATTATATTATATGCAAATATATTTCACTTTTATTATTATATTAATTAAGAAGAAAATTGGTAGGGAGATTGCGATTGTGTGTCAGTTGACAATATCCTTTTAATAATGCTATACTTTCAAAGTGTCTTTTTTTTAATGAATAGTTTTCCGATGTTGAGATTATGTAAATATATTTTTCACTTTTATAATTGTATTATATGCAAATATATTTCACTTTTATTATTATATTAATTAAGAAGAAAATATGTAGGGAGATTGCGATTGTGTATCAGTTGACAATATCCTTTTAATAATGCTATATTTTCAAACTGTCTTTTTTAATGAATAGCTTTCCGATGTTGTGATTATGTAAATATATTTTTCACTTTGATAATTATATTATATGCAAATATATTTCACTTTTATTATTATATTAAGAAAATTTGTAGCGAGATTGCGATTTTTCTTCAAACCCAAGATGCGAGTTACTCAAGCATAGCCTTGTTTAGAAGGCTTTTATCGTTGATCCAAATAGGAATTAATCCGTATCCACGCGATTAGTTTATTCGACGAGGGCAATTGCGAAATCGCGTAACGAGAGCTTCTCAACCTTAAAACACACTTCAATCTCAATGCATCTTCAATGCACTCAGAATTGCAAAATTGATCAAGATAAAACTGAATAAAATCAAATAAAATCGAGAATATCTTTACGAGTAATTTCTATAAATGTCATGATATTCGAAAAAAAAACAAAAGTTTCTCGATCTCCAAACTCGTTTAAGATTCGATACACTTTCAATGCGTTCACTATTGTCGATTTAGACACAGTCAATTGATCAATCTCGATAAGTTCCTCCGAAAGGCAGTCGCAAAATTCATTTTATCCAAAGTTCCTCGACCATTCAAAAATTCCAGTGTACTTTCAAAACGTGTTTAAAACACATCATCTTAAACTCTGTTCTTTAAAAATCATCGAATCCGATGATCGATGCACGAAATCAAGATGAATAACACCAATCACGCAAGAGAGTATTTAATCTCTTACAGTTTCAAACACTCACAAATCTCAAAACACATTCATCAAGCTCTCACATTGCTCACGAAATTTTCATTCATCATTCAAACGTATCCTTCGCGAGCGTTCAGTCTCCGAGTCCGTCTCTAGAAGAACAATAACTTGGACGTCAAGAGCTTCATCTTTAGCAACGCTTTGTTCGCTTCCGAAGCTGGGACCTCCCTTCATCCCCGGGACAAGGATCTCTCTCGTTCGTTCAGGATACACCGACGATGACAACGTTACACATGGACGAACAATCGTCGCATCGTGTGGCGCGCGCTCGTCGAGGAATTCCAAGATTCGTGAGTGAACGAGCGGCCTCGAGCCACTTTCTTCGACGCGAGAATCCTCGCTTCTTCTTCGGGGATGATGGTCCGGGCCGGATGAGACGATGGCGAGTCCGAGAGCACCCTCTCGTCTTTGCTCCGACCACTTGTTGCTCCCCGTCCCTCGTTCAAGCACGCCACGGACGAACGACCGAGTGCCACTGACTCCTCAAGGATCCCCAAGGACGACTCAAGACACGACGAGCGGCTGAGGAATGTTCTCGAGAACAGGAATTCGGTTATCCGATCACTGGAGACACCAGAAACGACGTATACCGTACGACGGTGCATCGGGTACTGAATGCGCGACTCGACAATCTCCCCCTTCCCTCTTCTCTTCTCCCCCCTATAATTCTACCTTGGTCCCCTCCTCGCCTTTCCGACCAAGGCTTTTCTTAGGCGGCCGCCTCGCCGGACCCCGAAGGGCCAACGAGTTGTAAATGTAACCAGAGGTCGTACTCGGGCCGCATTCGTCGGCCATTGAGGAATTCTCCTCGAAAATTCCCTCGTGATCCCTCGCGTCGCCTTTTAAAGAACATAATTGTAGATTACTTGAAACTTATTCGTCTGCTATTCAGACCGAGGAAATCGCATACGCGTGCAGAATAGACCCGACGACGGTCAAACTTAATTGAGCAACGAAAAGAATCACTGGTTAATGCTTGAAATTAAGTACACGTGTGGAAATAATAGAATAAATATATAATAAATATTTAAGATACAAAATTTGTGCAGTCTTGCTACATTGTAATCTCTTTGGGATAGGACGAATAAATATTGTCGAAAATTAAAATTATTTTTCCCTCAAAATTATATTTTTACCAAAATTTAACATCGTATTTTTTTCTCATTTTCTTTCCAATCATTTATAGTAGGAAGAATAAATATTGTCGAAAATTAAAATTATTTTTTCCTCAAAATTATATTATATTTTTACCAAAATTTAACATCGTATTTTTTTCATTTTTTCCAATAAAATAATAAAAAAAAAAAAAAATTTTTTTTCTTATTTTTACAATTCAATATATTCCTTTTTCATTTTCTTTCCAATCATTTATGATAGGACGAATAAATATTATCGAAAATTAAAATTATTTTTCCCTCAAAATATTTTTACCAAAATTCAACATCGTATTTTTTTCTCATTTTCCTTCCAATCTTTGAATTGTTTAAATGAAAATTTTAATTTTAATTTTAATTTTATTTTAACAACACCATTCGAAACATAGAAAAGGATCTAAAAAAGATCGAAACATACATATATATTTTTCATTTGAATTAATATTTTCAGACATGCTACTTGTGCTTTTACATCAAATTAATTATTAACATATTATGTTACTACCTTAGACAATTTATTATTTTTTTATTTATTTTACGTGCTAACATCCTGCGCCATGGTCTTTCAGCCTTCTTTTTATTGTTTTCTGATTGTTATCACTCAGACCGTATTTCTTTCGTTATTGTTTTTAAATGAGAATTGTTGTTAACTATGTTCCGAGTCGAAATTCTATAATATAAAGTAAACTTTATTTGGAAGAATGATTTTCTCGCTTATAATCTCAAAGTTTTTGGCTCGAAATATTTTTAAATAAAATATTACAATATTTGCCAGCTAATCGAATGCATGAGAAGCGTCTACTATTTAACTTCTTCTTCTTCTTCTTCTTCTTTCATAGCATTACAGTCCTATATATGGACCAAAGCTTGTGCAACAATCTCCTGCCATCCCGATCTCCTGCCCGATTTCTCCAATTTTTGATGTTCATCTTCTTCAGGTCGCCAACCACTGAGTCCAACCATCTTTCTCTGCTGGTATCCAGCATTTTAAGAAATATCTTCTTTACTGCTCTTTCTTCAGGCATTCGAATTAGGTGTCTTAGCCATCTCAACCTCTGAGATACAAAGCGAGTCACTGTTTCGCCATTCACTAGAGCTTCAGCATTATATCTGCTTCTATACGACCCGTCTTCCTCATTAATTGGGCCGAATATTCTCCTTAGGACCTTTCTTTCAAAGGTGGCTATATGCTAGTAGTCTTCATTTTTCAGGGTCCAGGCCGTATGTTAGCACGGCTAACATCTGGCCAACATCTTATAAATCTTGAGTTTCACCATTCTGGCGAGATAGATTGGATTTTAAGAGATTTCTATGTGCGTAATAGCATTTTGACGCCATTTTTATTCTTTCCCGTATCGCAGCTCCGGTCTACTATTTAACATCCCCGACGAAATCTTTCAAATTCGATAGAATTTCAAGCTGCTTCAAAATAAGATCCAGTAAAGCCAATCATAATCAATTCAATTGTCATTTGCGAAACATCGACTTATTAAATCAATTATCAGCTGTGCCGGGTACAAGATAGGGAAAGGGTTAAGGTAAGCCGATCATGGTAATCGTAGATTAGCAATCTCCTAGCAGTCGATTGCCCTCTGACGCGCTTCGATAACTCGGAATCGCATCGATTTTCGATCAGAGAAAGAAGAGAAAAAGAATGAAAGGGAGAGAGATAATTACTCGGATGAGAGCTGATGGTACAGGAGAGAGACAGCCATTGGGCTCTTGGGAACGGGTACGCGCCTCGTCGCCGTCGAAGATGGCACAACCATGGAAGAGAAGGGAGGAGAGAAGCAGAGAGGAGAGCTGCTTAAGGAGGCCACACGGAATCCGCAGACGTCTCACCGGTCGACCAGTTTTCTCATACGGTCGACATATGGTATGTACCCGGTGGCTGAAACGTCTTCTCGCCTCGCGATTTCAAGCAATTTTCTTTATATCAACTTTTATTCATTATTTGTGTAAATTATATTTAATTAAATTATATTTAATTGTGTAAATTATATTATATTTATTATAATTATATTATATTTATTATAATTATATTATATTTATTATATTTATATTATATTTATTATAATTATATTATATTTATTATATTTATATTATATTTATTATAATATATATATTTATTATAATTATATTATATTTATGAAATAGATGCTTTTCGAGAACTTGGATTTGTATCTGGATACACATCTGCTTAATTTTTACTCGCGTATCTACATTT